ATAATATTGGACATTTTACTCCACAGATAATGATCCAAAGGATTTAGATCAGGCGATCGATCTGGTCAGTTTACTGGGCCACCTCGACCTATCGACCTGCTTGGAAAATGTTGGTTTACCCAATTTTTCCCAGGTTGGCCAAAGTAGGCTGGGGCCCCATCATGCTGGAAGAACATTTCTAACCAAGTGCTTGTAGGAATATCGTCTAGCAATTCTTGCAGATCATGTTGTAGAAAATTTTAATAATTATGGGTATTTAACCCATTTGGTTACATAATCGGTCCTATCAAGATATCCCCTATGACACCTGCCCATACATTGAAAGAGAACCTATGTTGGAAGTTTGCCTTTCGAACCAAAACCGCTCCAAAAATAAGTATTATGACTGTTGAATGCTTTGCCTCTTGAAAAAGTTGCCTCATCTGACCATAAAATGCTTTTAAATCATGTTGGTGGCTTAGAATCCAACGGCAAAATTATGTGCGTGTTGGGAAAATCTGTAGGCTCTTAAATCATGTCCCCTTTTATAATGGAAAGGATGCAATCTTTGCATTTGAGTCATTCTTCCGATCTGAAAATATGGTTTAAATTAAAGCATGTGATGTATTCTTAATTCTTTTTTTAATAATCAAAAAAATTGCAGGAAGACATTTACTAGTTTTTTCATACACGGTAAAAGTAAAAATGCTTACAATATATTTATGGATATTGGTAATATTTTTATAAAACAGTGATATTTTTAGTCATTTAGTCGGCAAACGCTGCGTCTGAGAGAAGTAAATTAAGAGTACCTCTTCTTCGTAAAATACTTCGGATTTCCACAATTTGTAGAAAAAAGATTGATTTATAATATCAGAAAAAAGTTAGAGCTTTTTTGTACTTCTAGACCTCCCGAAATGATACGTCTATGATGAAATTCTGACAGTTTTAAATTCAGATCGAGATTCATCATATCAAAATTACCGAAGTTCCTAAAGCTTACGTTTCGAAGGTCAACCGCTTAGAAATAATTTGCAAAAAACCCTACTACTGGGCCCGTCTTCAAGAAGGCGTACCTCCGTTAGGGACCATTTTTCGATACATGTTTATTTGAAAAATTAATATTATTTTTGGTTTTTGGCAGATTTCACTGTTTCAGTTTGGCCACCTAATTTCGGGCACCCTGTATAATATGCGAATTATTCGCGTTTGATTATGAAGCAAGGAAATCGCGTTGTGTTCTACACCTCGGAGTAATTACATTTTGCTCCACAAGCAACGATTATATGTATGTCAGTAAACTAATTTCCTTGCCTCCTCGGTTCAATACCCGATTTTAACACGACCAAGGGACATTTAGATTAAATTGCAAGCGAACTAAATCTGCCTTATTGTGTTGTAGTTAAAATTGCAACCGAAACGAGCTTTACAGAAGTTTGGCCCAGAATCTCAATTCTAAATGTTCTGAGAGGAGTTTGGAAAATGGGTGATAGATATTTCATAAATATTCGTATTCGTATCAACAATACGATTTTCGACCTAAAACCCCAGTATAAATTTACATTTGCAAATAACAGAGGCCATACATCGACAATCGATTACATTGTGACTAATAAACAATTTCACGCAACTCAATTACTCGAAATCAAAACGTTCCATTCGGCAAATATAAGAAACGATCATAACATTGCACGCGGAAGAATTAAATTGAAAATGCGAAAACCGAAACTAGCCAAGACCCGTGATATCAACACATAAACTCAATATTGAGCTGCTATGGGACCCTACGATAAAGTAACTATACAAAAATAGATTACAACAAAAAATCGAAGAAAACCCGATCTTAAATACTAACGACATCAATCTAGCTTGGGAAAGAGTCAAGAATAATATCAAAAATTCAGCAAGGGAGGCACTTGGAGAACGAATTATAAAAGTGAACCAAGTAATCAACCACAAGACACCATGGTGCCGCCCAGAAATCAAGGAACAGTGCAAAAACAAGAAAAGCCTACCTAAAATATTGTACTATGCGAACGCCAGAATCATATAATGAATATAAGCAAGTTAGGAACAAAACTAAAGAATTAATGAGAAAAATCAAAAACGATCACAGGGAATTGTTCTCCAAACGCCTGGAAAAATAAGATCCCAGAGAAAGGAGTTCAATGAACTGCTAGAACCAACCCACATAACAAAAGAAGAATGGATCAGATATTTAACCGATCTGCATAAAACAACAAACACGGCAGACGATCCTACCACACCAGAAATAACTATTAACGAAGATGCCACGATGAATACATCGGACGTAGAAAACGCACTACAGAAACTAAGAAATAGAAAAAGCGCCGGGCAAGACGGTATACAAAATGAATTGCTCAAATACGGTGGGCAGAGGCTAACAGGAGAATTAACAACTTTAATACAGAAAATTATATATCAACACAAAATCCCAGATGAATGGCGAACCAGCACCACTGTGCTAATGTTCAAAAAAGGGGACAAGTGAAAACCATCAAATTATAGAGGAAGAACCCTTTTAAGCACTGCTCTAAAACTAACAACTAAAGTAATTACGAACAAAATCCAAAATCTTACATCGTTGGCGGACGAACAACAGGGATTCAGATCCGGAAGATCTTTCACAGACGCCGTGTTCGTATTAAGAGAAATAGTCGAGAAATCGATTGAATACAGCAAGCCAGCGTTTATATGTTTTGTAGATCTAACTAGAGCATTTGATCATGTCCAGCTGAAAGACACACACGATCTCATTAAAACCATAGAGAACATATATACAAACAATAAAATACGGCCACAAATAGAAGGAAGGAACACATATCCAATACCAGCGGATAGCGGTATTCGTCAGGGAGACTCCCTGAGTTCTACTCTTCTTAATTTAATAATGGAAGAAATTGTTCGAAGTGTTCGAGGGTCAAAGGGTTAAAAAATGGGGGATGCAGAAATCAAAATAGTGTGTTATGCTGACGATGCCGCTCTCATTGCAGAAAGTGAAGATACATACAAAGGTTATTACACTTATTCAACGTCAACAGCCCAGACTCTAACTATGGAAATATCACCGACCAAAACAAAGTGCTTAACAACATCAAAAACGCCTCTAAGATGCAAACTGGAACTTGACGGTGGAGTAATCGAGCAGCAAATGAAATTTAACTACTTTGGCGTGGAACTTTCCGGCTTTGGGGATATTGAGACAGATGTGAGAGATCAAACAACAAAAGCAATTCGAATAGCTGGCTGTCTGAATGCCATATGGTGCAATAAGAGTATGGGAACGGACACTAAATCGGGGATCTACAAAACCGTCGTGAGGCCGGTGATGACATATACCGCAGACACCAGACCAGAAACAAAAAACAGAAAAAACCAAAAGACTCCTAGAGGCAGCAGAGACGAAAATATTCCGTAGAATCACCGGAAGGAACTGCTGAATGGAGAGAGAAGCCAGGATATCAGAACAGCCTGTAATGTCAAGAACATCAGTGAATGGGTATCAAACAGGAAGACGGAATGGAATGAGCACTTTAGCAAGATGGACCACCATCGTTGTGAGAATCGCTCGCGCCAAGTCCCCATTGGGACCCAAGAGACGTTGGGCGCCCCAGGAAACGATGGAGCGACAGCCTCACGAAAGTGGACGATAGATAATTGAACAGGCGATTGACCTATAATCTAGAATGAAGAAGAAGATATTATTACAGCGGGGCTGCGTAGTTTAAACAAGCCTCAAACTTTCAGAATTTTCAAAATTATGCTTTTTATGTCTTTACAAAAATCCACCGCTTCTAGTCATGTGTCAGCCTCTAAAGCCTTTAAAACTAAGTTTTCCAAATTTTGCATCCATCTGGTTTCGATAAGATAGAATGGTGGCCCGCTTAACGTAAAGGCAGAACGAACTAATTTAATCCCAGATCTGGATTCAGTGACACAAACCCCAAGCGATTCAGTACAGTTTATTAGCAACGCAAATATAATAGGAAATTTACATTGATAGCCATGCGAGTTTGCAGATGTACGGTTTTATCGGAGGGCACGTGAAGCTTCCCAGGAAAAATTCCCGCGTGTTTTTTGCCGCATAATGGACATTTTATGCCAGAAAATGCTGTTGGGGATAAGTTTATGCCATTTTACGGTCGACCATCAACCACAAACAATCAGCCAGAGAAAAAAGTAGAACATGTAGTTTTGCTTATATCTTTGCCAGTAATTTAACTCAGCGATAGTTTGCAAAACCAGTTGGACATTTACTTTTGCAAATTTACCTAAAATAGCCAAAAGCGAATGACCAAAAAAAGCATGAAGAATTGCTTTTTTAGCTCCTACTTTTAATGGGAAAAGGCAACATTGGCAAATCACGAATAGAAAATTGTTTTTACTTACTTAATAATTCAACTTTCCTCTTTTTATAATTGAACTCTGCCTATTTTTTTGATGCAAGCATTCAGCAGGCTTTCAAGTATTTCGAAACGGAAAATTGTTTTTTTCGTTTTTTCAAGATAACGAATGATCCCATGTGAAAATCTCACCATAATCAACGCAAACTATCCCAAACTATCCAAACAAATCCTGAGTAAAGATGAAGAATAACCGAATGCTACAAGTGTTTATATTCGTTTTGTGATGCATTTAGTGCTCATTTACTCAATAATTCATCCAAGGCTTGTTTTGCCTTGATCTGACGCGTCAAGTTTTCCAGTTAATGTTGTGTCTATTTTGCGCTTATTTCAATGGCATTTTTCAGAGTTTTATCAATTTTTCTTTAAAGCTGAAAACTTTCGTTTCCGTTTAGCGTTGACTTAAAAACATTGCAGTTTTGTTTACGTTCGCATTTCAAGTTAGAAAGTTCCTAGTTTTTTTTTAGGAATATTAGTGTTATGATTTCTGTTCTGCCTGTTATATGTATTATTTATTAATGAAATATTCTGGAGTTTCCTCATTTTTGTCGTCCAGAGCTTTTTTACTTTTTACTAGAAACCCTAAAGGTTCAAAGTTTATTTTGCTTCTATTTTGTGCGGATTCATTGGCGTCTTCCAAAGTTTTATCATTGTTTTCTTAAAGCTGCAAGTTTCTTGATGGCTTGACACAATCTTCTTAAGTTCGTGAAATTTTTAATTATATTTTGCGCGGATTTCATAAAATATTTCACAGTTTCCGTATTTGGGCGACACCCAAACTAACCCAAACTGACCCAAACTGCCCCAAGCACATCCAAACTAACCTAAATCTGTTTCGCTTATCGTTAAAACACCAGAAATTCTAAAATATTGAATCATGGAAAGTAGAACCAAAACTTGAAAAAAAATTAAAACAAGTCAAAGCAAAAGGAGAAAATTAGCATGTCGTGATCGGTTTCATGCATATATGGATTTTCGAATCATCCATCGATGTTTATTCAATAAGTGTGCAATTGTCGCAGCTTCCCACTTTGGCCGGTGTTATCTGCCCTTAACCAGACGGGATTTGAAAAATGTCTCAATATATTGCACTTTTTTGCAGCCATAAAGTTATATATTTCTATGGCATTGCGGCAAAATGCTACCTATAAATGATGGATGGGCCCGGCTTGAACTTATACAGAGTGAGTATCCTTTCCTCTTCACGATTTATAGCCAATAACTCGATAAGAAATAATATTTACTATGACATGTAAATATTGATGGGATTTCACCGATGTCGGGCCATAAAAATACTTTTGATATTTGCACCAAACAGATTGATGGTGCATTGAACTTATCGATGGGGAAAATTGACTTGTACCACAAACTTTGCTGGAGATTCAAAGCGACTTTTAGCCCTGACTTCTGCCTGGCCTCATTTTCATGTATAATGGGCGATTTATTGTCGTTTCCAATATTGTATTGGCATTGGTTGTCAAGCGAAAATGCTCGTAAATTACACCGCACGATATGCTTTGCACTTGTTAGGTCTAATAATGGCTTAAATGGGTGTGAGATATTGCTACTTCAGGGTTATATTTCCTTTATTCGGCTTCTATTTTCAATCAATTTTCGTATGTATTCTCTCGTGTTCAAGTCTTAAATCCCTATTATTTGTTTTCGTCAACATCTTCTCTATTTTCTTTAATGCTTCGTTAATTTTTGCTTTCTGGAATCGATTAACTTGTGGGAAGACGTGGAAAAAGTCCATTGCGTGATTTGGCATTTGGACTTGGATTTCGTGGCGTAAAGGTGAAATAATTGCTGGTTCGCAGCTAAGTATGGTTCGGATTTGTCACGCCTTCTGCTCGCAATCCCGCTCCCTATAGTGCGATTATTCCAGAAATCCTCCCGACCGGCCATTAACATGGAAATAAAACATTCGCCCACAAAATTAGAGGGGCGAGCCACACTATTCACTTGAATGTTCCCTAAATGTTCCAGTTCCATCATATTAAAGGCGGGTTTAATGCGAATAATTAAGCTAAAGTAGCTGAAGACTATGGAGGTTTATCCACTGGAATGAACATGTTCACAGTGTATTCGGAAGATCTACATATCTGCTATATTTTAAACGAACCAATATTTTTCCTACATCAAGTTGTTTATTTTCCTGCTAACAATATAAAATTATTAAGGAAAACCAGTCGACGTTAGAGCGCATAAGATTGGAAAGTTTCAAGTGTTTTTTTTGCGTAAACCTGAAAATAAATGTTAGTCCAATTGAAATAAATTAAGATTTTCACTTCTTGGTCGACTTCTCAATTCGACATATTCGCTCCAGTTCCATTGAAATCAAAACCGATAAATTCTCTTGGCACATTAAAACAGTTTTAGCGAATTAATAGCGATTTGGCTGCAATTCCCTTTCATGTCCCCCGTTTTGGACTGCATTTGCAGATTTATCGTCCGCCGAGGAAAATAAATTCATACTTCGCCAGCCGCACTGATCAATTGCGCGATTTATAGAATAATAACCAGCCATAAATAAGCCATCAGCCAACAACTGAATTTTTAAGCCCTACACTTTTCTGGTAAACGTTCTTGTGATTAAGGGCTTTTGCCAATCTGCATGTATGATAGTGTTCTGGATTTCTAAGCTGGTGGAAAATTGCACTTTATCCTAAAGAAAAATGTGTCAAATTTCCTGCTGAAGCTGAAGTGAGTTCTGGAGTGGAACATAACATGAATTCACTAACAATAGTTGCAAGTTTTTTTGAATAATGGAAGCGGAATCGATGAATTTATCACACCATCTTGGAACACATCCACAACATACTGTTTTTTTTATTTGCTAGTTGTTGTTGCTTTTAAAATGCCTTCACTTTGACACTTCATCTATTAGTCTCGACTTTATTGTTTTGACACTCATTTTTTTCAGTATTGCTAACCTGTATTGGTTCATTGGCAGCTTTTGCTTCTGATTCTCTAGATTTTCTTGTCATATAATTTGCCTTTTAAGCGTACTGTAGCTGTAGGTTTCTTTTTATTCCGTCTGAATACTCTATCAAATTATTTTCCTTGCTTCCGCAGCAAGATCTTTAAGTGGTTTTCTTCCATTGTTGAAGTTTTTTCACTTTTCTGCATCTTATTGCGAAAGGTGCTTTTTGCATGATTCTTTCTTCATTCAATGAGTTCGAATTTGCTGTACTTTCTCACTTTGACACTTGACCTATTACTATATTTTCTATTGTTTTGACACTCATTTTTCTCAATAATGTATCCTTACAGTTTTCAGATTCTTCCTTGCCTCATTCTTTAAATAATGCGTCAAAAATACGTGTCATTTTCCGATCGTAAAAAAWTWTTTATTGCTTAATCTGTATTGGTTAATTGGTAGCTTTTGCTTCTTGTTCTCCTCTGGGTTTATTCTTTATATTTTCCGTTCTGCAGATTYTGAAAAAATATCTCTTAAACATTTTGTGATTTGCCTTTGCTGTTAAATGTTGGTTTTGATCTTCAATGCACATTGTTTCCTACAATTTACGTTTTAAGTAGATTGTAGCTGTAGTGGTTTTTCATGTTCCTCTTTATTCCGTCTGAGCACTTTCTTCAGATATTTTCTTTGCTTCCGATGTAAAACTTTAAGTGGTTTTCGTTCATTCCTGAATTTTTACAGGCTTGTGCATTTTGCCTCTTGATTTGCTTCTTGTTCTCCTCTTGATTTACTCTTTACATTTTCCATTCTGCAGATCCTTAAAAAACTATTTTCAATGTTTTGTTATGAGCTTTGCTGTTAAATGTTGGCTTTTATCTTCAATGCATATTGTGTCATACAATTTACGTTTTAAATAGATTGTAGTTGTAGTTGTTTTTATGTTTTTCTTTTATCTGTTAACCATCTTGTGTCCACTGCTGGACGTTGGTCTCTCTCATTCTTATCCATGCATCTCGGTCCTGTGCTGCCTGCATCCAGTTGCTGTGACAGCGTTTCAGATCATCGGTCCATCTTGTTGGTGGATGGCCTCGGCTT